TTTAATTAAGTTCCCGATTGATGTCACTTTATGAATACGACTTTTGAATTACAATAGTATATATATTTCTATATATGTATAATATATGTAAATAAAATATTAAAACTTATTTATATATTAAATATAAATAAAAGTACTAGAGATGATTGTTAAACAAACAACAAACAAATATTATGACTCATTCTCAAGTGTATTAAGTGTGTACCAATTTTTTCAAAGTTTGATATTACCAATGTAACAACATTGGAAACACTTAAAAAACGCTTAAGAAATAATCAAAAGACTGATAATCTTATCTTTATAATATTCTTTCGAAAAAAGAAACAAACCATTAAGATATATATCAAACTAATGAACATTTTGTAAGAAAAAAAAAAAACAGAACAATTATTTGAAATAACTTGGTTGTTTTTCACGTCCACAAAATAAAATATATCAAAATTTGGTATGAATGAAAAAATGAACAGGTAAAACAATCAGAACATATTATTTCTATCCTGTAAAAAACAAATATTTCAAATAATACTGATCTTACAAAGTAAGAAAAGAATAAATAAAAAATAAAAAAAGAGAACAACGCAAACAAATAATTCGATTTTTATTTGTTGTTAAAAAAACAAGACCAAAAAATAATTCCGAAAGAATTTGCGAATAGATAGAAAACACCATATACATAGGTATATGCGTTTTGATCGGAAAAGGCAATAAACGGTGATATCGTAGTGGTCCGCATGGTGGTACCGAATGCGTGATTGTCCGTTGTTTACGAGTCACGAAAGATAGAAAGAGGGAGAGAGAGAGAGAGAGAGAGAGGAAAAAAAGATTATACAAATAGAAATAGATATAGAACCCGAGTTATACACGTTGAGCGTGTTTCAACAGTGCAACCGGCTGCTGTAGTATAGGTGCATTAATAATGTAGAAGTGCATATGGTGTGCAGTAAGCGCTTGGTGGCGCGCTGCTGACTAGGATCAATGCTCCGGTTGCGATCTATACGGTAAAGTGCAATATAGGTAACGACAAACCAAACTGGCTCTTTCTCTTTCTCTTTCTCTTTCTCTCTTACTAATTCTGGTTTTGATTCTGGTTCTGGTACTCTATGAACGTTGTTCTCTTTCTTTCTAATGTAAGTGCACACAGGAAACAACAACACCGTTACGCGGCACGCGGCTAGTTTCGATGGAAGTTATTAGAAAATATTCGGTCTAGGCGTGGCTCTCAACTCGCTCGTGAGAACAAGCACAAGGACGTTAAAAGCCTCGATTATGCTATTTCAACTAGACTGATATTTTTCTATTCTTTTTCTATTCTTTTTCTTCATTTTCTTCATTCAGCTTACTTAGATTCTTAGTATATCTAAGAATTATATACACAAGTATTATACACAAGTATTCAGAATATTTTGTTCATTTTGTTTTATTAACAAAATAAATGGTGGTGCCAATATTATTGCTTTCATTAAAATATGTTATCCAAAAATTGCTTTTACTTAATTCTCGGTTAAATAAGCACAATTTTATAATTATTATGCTCCCCTAAACACCCATGAAATATAATTCAAATATTATTTGTTTGCATGGCACCAGCGTGGTGCCACCGGACGCCATAGTGTCTTAATAGATTCAATTATTTTGCAAGATTTTATAATAAATTATATATATTTTCTAAACTAACAGAGAGGTCAAATATATATCTTCCGTGTTCGTGAAATTATATATTATTAAATAAATCATATAATAAGTTACTATCAGTTTCTTTTTCCCTTTGACTTATGCAATGATTATGACTCAGATAAAGATTGAAGTATTATATCTGATGAATAAAAATAGAATTTATATTAGGTCATTAAATATTAAACGTCATATTATCTCCGATTACTTTTACTTGAGAAATCAAACATTTTATGGAAAATTAACCTAATGGAATATGGTATATTGGCTAGGGGAAAAAGTTTCTTCGTATTGCAATAGAAAAATAAAGTCAAATAAATTAGGTTCTTTTTTCAACTGTTATGTGTATCAAAATGAAATATATTTGACGAAAAAATAAAATAAAAATCACCCAGGTAATTGAATGAATTATTCGTGATATAATATAAGATTGAAAACTTTTCAGCCCTTTTCTTGTGGATAAAACTTTGAAAACTTTTCAACCCTTTTCTTGTGGTTTAAAAAGATTTCTTTCATTAGAGTATTCGTATAATTATATTACAAGACGTAATAAAACAATACAATTATTAATTTACAAGTATTATTGTATTTTAATGCATTAATGCACTCTAAACGATTCAACATACTCTCTTTGTTTAAACATTTTAATTTTTATATAAAAAAAACAACAATGTTAATTACTTATTAAATATTAAATTATACATTTCTTTTTTATAATAAAAATATATGTCGTTGTATATTAAAATGAATTTTCTTTTAAATTGACAATAAATTTACGAATACTCCATATATAGCATTTATTCATTACCAAAAGTTATTTGTGTGTGTGTGTGTGTGTGTTGTAAATCATTGAAAAAAGAAATATTTGATAAAATAATATTAATAATAATAATAATAATAATAATAATAATAATAAATTAAAGACATTTTACTTACATTCAGTTTCCATATTGATAATTAATAAATAATTATTCGTTGTTCGTAATAAAAGTTTCGTTTTCGTAAGCAGGTCAACTTGTAGCGATAAGTATCAGTTATTGTTAATGCTTAAAATATATTAATAATATGGACACATATGGATTTAGGTGAAAAGTGAATAGAGAAATTAGGGAAGTACAATTGGTAATATGATTGATCCAGGCAGATATATAAATATATATACATACACATCAATTAATTTTGTGATTCAGCGATAACGTACTTTATAAATTTATTCACAGGATTTAAATTAATGAAATAGTATACAGTTAAAGTTTTGTGTTTTGTTGCCTTCTTTGTTTTTGTTTTTATAATCTATATCAATCGATTTTCTTTATATTGTTCTTCTTGTTGTTCTTGTTTTTGCAGTAGTTGTTGCAGTACTTGCTGTTTATTTTGTTATAATTTCACGTTTACAAAATGCGAGAGACTCCGCTGTTTTCATTATTTTCATTTATTTTTGTCGAAACGTTCGCAAAGCACAATACATAGAAATCTGATGAGTCTCGATTATTACGCGTTTTCGTATTTACCCTTCGTATCGCACCATCCGAAGGTTTTAACAACCCTCTTCTTACCCCTAACCCTTTTCCATTAATTATTTTCTTTTTATTTATCATTGCACCTCATCATTATCATCATCATCATCATCATCATCATCCTTTTTCTTATTTCCTTTCGTCCTTAATATCCTTTTTTCTTTCTTTCTATTTTTACTTTTATTTTTTTATTTTTATATTACGCGCGATGAATAATAATTAATAATTAATAATAATAATAATAATAATAATTTACACGAGGGCCAAATTTTGTCCATATACATATTTACATATCGTACAAATTATTAGTCTTTCTTTTCCCCCTTTTTCTTGTTTACTTTTTTTTTTTTTTTCTTCTTCCATCTTGTTAATCTGTGACATATAAAATTACAAAAAATCCTCTATCTATTCGAGAATTGAAAAGTTTTTTTAGAAGCGAATAACACTCTATACGAGAAATTACGTATAGCAAATATATACGGATGCCGTCTGTCTGTCTGTCTGTCTGTGTGTGCATGTTCGTCTAATATATATATATATATATATATATATACCTAGTAGTAGTATGCAAGAGTATTATTGGGGACACATCTACTTGAAATATTTCAAATGTTCATTCATNATTACGTATAGCAAATATATACGGATGCCGTCTGTCTGTCTGTCTGTCTGTGTGTGCATGTTCGTCTAATATATATATATATATATATATATATATATATTTATATATACATATATATATGTACAAAGTGGTTGAAAAATAATCAGATGATGATTTTTTTTACTTTTAAATAAAATAATTCTCTTTTGACGTATCACAAAATTCCCGTTTTATTATTTTATAAACAATAAATATATTTCTTTTTAACAAATGACTTTAAAAATTAATTTTCTAATAATCGTCTATTATACATATCAGTCGCCATTTTGTTCTTGAGAAAATGAACAAAATTAATGGGTAAAAGAAAGAAAATGATTATATTTAAAAAATAAAATATATATATATATATATTTGTAGCGACTATTGAACTACTCTGTGCATATATACATATACATATATATATATATATATATATAAAATGTATATTTAAATATACACATTTATATATTTCGCACGTATGCATGTATATACATAAACGTACACACGTACGTGCGCGGTCATCCATATATACACGTACATATATACACATGGGTACAACCACCCGTCGATACGCAACAGCGCAAAGCTATTTACACGTCATACTCGTAAAGTAAATATTTACATGTACGCGGGGTTAGAATTGGAAAAAAAAAATTGAATAAAATAAAATAAGGGAATAAAAAAAAGAAAAAAGAACAAAAATACTCGCCAGCGAGAGAGAGAGAGAGACGATTTTTAAGATGAGGATTTATACAGCTTGACGACGAAAGACCTACCTACTGACGCAAACTAACGCCCCTTTTATTGCCCTTTTCTGATCGAGAAAAAAAGAGAGAAAGGGAAAGAGAGAGAGAGAGAGAAAGAGAAGGAGTAGGAGGAGCAAGAGGAAAGAACGAAAACTAGTTCACCGATAAACCAATGGCTTTTAGAATGATGGAAGATACAAAATAAAAAAGTCAAATATGTGTGCCACGTTAAAAAGAAAAAAAGAAAAAAGAAAAACCCTTATTTTTTGTAATATTCATTTTCTAACTTAGGGAAAAATTACAAATTATAATATTACTATTTTATATTACTATTAAAAAATTAATTTGTTTTCGAAACGTATTTGTAACGTTAACATTAACGTTTAAAAAATACTTTAAAACACTTAGATAGGATTATTTTTTTTGGGGAGAGGAGAGGGATGAAATTTTGTTGAGAAAACAAGACAAGGGTACACGGAAGCATTCATTGACAGTAGTGGCGGCTTGAATTGGAGATGTGATTTATCACAAAATTGTATTAGGGATATTTGTATTTCTCTCTCCCCTATTATCAATCCCTCTTTCTTTTTCTCTATTCCCCTTTCCTCCCTCGTTCCACTTTCTCGATTGTCCGGTGGTACTTTCGATATCAACGATCAAACGCTAACAATCCCTATTTCCTGAATGTAAAATAGGTAGGCGTAGTTTCGTCGTTTCTCGCTTTGTATCTGTCGAAGAGAAAGGTGGGGGTGGAGGTGGGGGTGGATGATGAATAAGTGAAAGACAGAGAAAGGATAAATAATAATAGTGTATAGACTTTAGGGTCGAGGTAATCACGAAGCTGGAGCAAAACTAGCGAGAAAAGACTAAACGAGGTATGCTTGACCGGATGAGGGTGGCGGGGGTGGGGAAGAGGGTGGTGGTTGCTGTTGTCTCCAAGTGGATCTCTCGAGTGTCGAATAATCGGAATCAATGGACGAATATATATGCTCGGACAAGGGTCTCGTGTGATCCTCGGTAGCGAGCATAGGATTGGTAGGAGCTAGGCTGCCAGCTGGCACGGTGACCGCATCGCGATAAACGTGATTGACGGTCAGCCGAGCTTGCGGCGAGGATGGTGGAGGTTGTTGATGGTGAGAGGAAACGGTACCGCAGGAATAAGCAGGCGGCGCGTGTTGTAACATTAACGCTGAGGAACCACCGCTCGTAGTAGTGTCCTTAAAAAATGTACGCTGCGATCTAAACGTCGTCGTGGAAGGTGGATTGTTTGATTTCCTACTAGCAATGCTGTCCCTGTCAATCGCGTAGCTGTTGATATTACGTTTAAATACAAGAGGCAAGGATTTGTTTTCGATGGAAACATCAGCACCACCACCACCACTGCCATTGCTGCCACCGCCGCCGCCACCGCCGCCGCCACCGCCGCAGGATGCTATATTGCTAGTGGTGTTACGCGTAACACCGGTAGGAGGTGCCGTTGATGGTGGTGCAGGTGGTATCGCGTATTTCAGACGTTCCCAAAACCTTTTTTCACCCCATGTTAATGTGAGAGCAGCGTTACGCAAATACGGTCTTAATTCGGGATCCCTGTCGAGTTCGGGACTTAGATTGGCAGCTTGGACAACGATCAGCTGATTCGCTCTACCACGCAATGCCTCGTGAAAGGCCGCTCTTAACTCGAAACGCGACCACTCAGTTTGAAGAAAGTTCCGTGTAAGGACGATCAAGGTACGACGGGAAGCATCTACGGCTTCAAGAATGGTCGGACCAGGTGTTGAGGTACGCAACATGCACGGTAAATCACGATGATGAAGGCATAATCTTAATGACGTAGGTCCGTGTTCAAGTTCAGCTGCCAACGAATGAAGTATAAAATCCTCGTCGTTTGGACTGTAAGAAACGTAACAATCGTACAAACGTTCACGATTAATGTCGTAGCACGATGTGATGCCCGCGGTTGAGACCATCGTCGCACTACCGGCCGCACCAGCTTTAGCAGGTTTCGTACGTTGAAAGCGTAATCCGTATTTAGAGTAAGCCCATGCACAAACGGGACCACGAAATACGAATGCTAGCACCACGACGATTAAAAGCACCAGCAAGGCTGAGAACGTTGCGGCTACAAGAGTTAAATAATCTTGTGCAAAGTCCACCATTCCACCGCCTTGCGCATAATAATCCGAACATGCGGTCTCGTTGACGTTTAGCCGACGTCGATAAGACGGTTTGTTATCACCACCACTGTAATAGCACCAAACGTCGTTCGTGTCGACGACTTTGTGCGCATTATCCGATACCCATGAGGACAGTTCTTGAAGAAACTTGCAACGACAAGACCAAGGATTATTACCCAATGATAGTTCGACTAGACGTGCGTTAAGGGTTACTTGCCAAACCGGAAATGTAACTAGTCGATTACCGCTAAGACGTAATATCTCGAGCGAACGTAACGGTAGAAACGTCAGATTTCCGATAAAACCAATTTGATTGTTTTGCAAGTATAGTTCGCGCAAATGGGATAAACGTTCGAATTCAAAACCTTTGAGTTCGCGTATACGATTGTCCTCAAGATGAAGTATCTGTAGATTGTTCAAACCGTTGAACGTACGGTTTTGTATCGATTCGATACCGCTGCCGTTCACATAAAGAACCCGCATATTTTTACGACCGATGAAAACGTGATTAAGTAATTCACGAAGCACGTTACCATCGAGATAAACTTCGGTTGCATCCATCGGTATACGCCGTGGTATCTCTTCGACACCTAAACCAGAACAATCGACGGCATTTGTACTCCAGGTACGATCGTTGTAACACTTGCACCCGTTCGGACAGGTCATTTCGCAGTCGCAGGCATCGTAATCGCAACAGTGACAGAGAGCAAAACAGTGTGCCTCGTAACGGCAAAGAAATTCGTTAGAACGTGCCGTTGAAGCTGGTATCATAGCAATACCACGTGGTCCGGAAGTTCGGCATCTTACGTTATCCAAATCCATTACACGCGGATACTCCCTCGTAGATGTTTGATTGTTGATCGCAGGTAACCAATCCATCGAGCAATTACAATAAAATGGATTATCTCCGATATAGAATTCCGGTAATGCTTTGGTTTCTGGTACTCTAGTTAATAACAGTGCGGTCAGTTCCATAGTTTCTATCATGTTGGCGTACATATCGACGCGAGTCAAATTAACTTTTTCCGTAAATGTGTTAGGATGAACGATGCTTATGTAGTTGTTGTTTATAAAGAGCAACTCAACGCTGTCGGGCACGGACAGGGACGTTAGCTCGGTTATGCGGTTGTGACTGGCATCGAGGGTCTTCACCTTCGAGTTACGAAGTTTGTAATAGTTGTCAAGTTTCTCGATAAAGTTACCATGTATATCGAGCCACTTTAGGTTACCCGGTATGAAGGCGTAATCAAACCACTCAATGTGGTTTTCTGATAAGTTTAAAAGTAGTAGACTCGTAATACTGGTGAATATGCCGTTTATATCCGATAGAAAGTTGCCGTCGAGTCGAATGGCCTCCAGTTTAATATTACGTTCAAAGGCATGCATGTCGATATGTTGCACTTTGTTTCTGGCTAAATTAAGAATTTGAAGATTCGGTAGATCCCAAAGCATTCCACGAGACAAATTGCCGATGTCGTTACCGATCAAACGTAATCCTGTAAGCTGATGAAGATTACGGAAGGAACCATTGTGAAAACTGGCGATACGATTTTCGCCAAGATCGAGAGTCTTTAAATAAGCAAGGTCTCGTATTGCTTCCGGTACGGAGGTAAGCCCGTTGCCGCTCAAATCCAATTCCTTTAAATCCGAACAATTGCGAAATGCCACAGGATCCACGCTGGCGATTGAATTTCCTGATAACGTAAGACGATTTAGGACAAACAATCCATTGAGAAGTTGTGCACCAACGGTACGAAGCTTATTGTCCGATAGTTCGAGAGTATGCAAATTGTAGAGCGGTAAAAAGGCGTTTCTCTCGATGTAATCAATCGAATTGTTACGTAAATCGAGTATGTGAAGAAATAAAAGGTCCTTGAACATGCGAGCGTCGATGCGGGTTAATAGATTGTAGGATAGATCAAGAACGATCAATCTTATAAGGCCAAGAAATGACGTTTCATCGATTTGATTGCTATCGAGCCGATTGCCAGCGAGATTTAAAACCAACAGCCACTCCAACCGAGTGAATATACCCTTGGGTAAGTCGCCTAGTCCATTGTGTGCCAGGTGTATCTCTCGTAGTTCCCTTGTGCTTCCAAATAGACCCTCCGGTAGGGAAGCAAGGGAATTGTAACTGGCATTAAAGATACGTAGAACCGTAAGGCCGACCAACGCACGACTGTCGATTTCGGCGATCGAATTACGTTGCAGGTGCAACTCTTGTAATTGTCGCAATCCGGCCAACGGGCCATTGTTCGGTAATCTGGTAAGTTCGTTACGCGACAGATCCAAAATTCGAACATCCGCTCGGCAAGATTCGTCATTGATATTGTTGTTACTGTTACTGTTGCTGCTGCTGCTACTGCTGCTGCTACTGCTGCTGTTGTTGTTGCCATCTTCGAAATCCTCTTGTCGACGCGTTAAACCGATATCGAGTATATCGCGAATACGATTTCCCGTCAGGTTTAAACTTTGCAAATTGTCCAAATCACAGAGCAAATACGCTGGTAAAGATAACACATTGCTCTCAACTATTTCAAGAGTATGTAACTCTCTTAAACCCGACAACGAACCGGGCGCGAGTTCCAAGACGCGTTGAGCACCCCACTCGGCATTGAAAGTTTGTATAGTCAATTTCTTCAGTTCGATGAGAGATTGAAAAGTACCTCCTGATATCCTGAGTACTTTACATGCATGAATATGTAGCTCGTGAAGGGAAGGCAATCTTTGCCAGCTATGAGCGTTCAAGGTACTCTCGAAATGATGAACCTCGCTGCATCGTATTCTCAATTTGTTAGCACCGTCGAGGGAGGAAGCAAGGCTGGTCAAAGCATTTGGGTCGAGTACGCGCAGAGTACAATCTGCTGTGTTACGAGTGTCGTTCCCACTATCGGATGACCATCTGCACGAGGCACCACCGGTCAATGTTGCCGTTGTAGTTGCGAGGCACAAAAAGAGCAGCACGTTAATAGCGTAACGCTTGAACGCGTTCGCGACGTCCACGACGTTCTTCTTCACCACCACCGTCATCTCGCGACGACGATGCAACGCGCAACAATGATTTCTTGCGCGAACGGATGGCCGATTAAACAAATGACGACGATGACGACGACGACGACGACTACGATGAGGACGGCTAAAAGGAGAGATATTTTTAGCAAATTTACTGAGAGAGAGAATGTCCTTGCTGTCGTCTCTCCCTTTCCAGCCTCCCCTGTCGCGCACCGCGACAACCACCGTCGGTAATACACGTTCGCGCAAGGGGTTGACACGCGCGCACGCACATATACACACACACACACTTACGAAGGAAAAGCACACATAGATGATAGCGAGGCGGGGAGAATGGTGGTGGACGAGGAAGGGAGGACGCAGAGCCAGAGCTAGAGCCAGAGCTAGAGCCAAAGGGAAAGGGAAAGGGAAAAGGAAAGGGAGAGGGAGAGAGAGATCGAGAAAGGACACTCACACGGAAGGGCGCGCGCGCGCGCGCGCGCAAACGGACAAGCGGGTAGGTAGGCGCGAGGGAGCGCGCGCGCGCTCGCACACCTCCTATCACGTAAGTACAACGGACCGGCCCATTTCTTCCTTTGTTTTTTTTTCTTTTTTCTCTTTCCCGGTGGGCCGCCGATCCTGCGCCCTCGGCACCACCTTGCCAACCCTCAAGCTTTATTATCGATGCTTCTCTATACACTATCCTTATCCCTTATTTATTTCTCCTTCCCTACTTCCTTCTTTCTTTCTTTCTTCCCTTTCCTTCCCTTCTCTTCTTTTCTCTATTTTCTTTTCGTTTTATCCTTTTTATCTTCTCTTTCGTTTATCTATTATATCCTCTATCCTTTTCCATATCCTTTATTCTTTTCTTATATTGTCCCTACAAATATATAAGTCAAACCGTAGGTAAATCACTACCACCTCTACTATTTTTGATCACCCAACAACACTACTACCCCTTTTCGTTCTCGACTCGTCTCACCCGACCAATGCCAAGATAAGAAGACATGCGAGAGACAATTGTTATTAGTTTTATTTGTTCGTTAATAATATTATTATTTATTTTTGTTGATTTTTGTCAGAAATGTCCCTTTTTCCCCTGTTGTGTTACGAGCTATTCGCGGGTGAGTTTCGAGTATGTCAAAGGGAACGAGTGCACACGTCCGAATGTGTACGCTCGACTCGCACCAACCACTGCCACTGACGACTCCTCACAAACTTTCGCCACCAATATCATAGTCGCCACCGGTGCGGTTGCCTAAGCAAGTTACCACCACCGATCACGTTGGATTCTGGTGTTCCCTTCTTCGACCATTCACATATTTTACAACGCTCCCTCTACTTTACTCTACCAACCTTATTGCGTTTTACCTTTCTCCTCTCTAGAGGTCGTTACTACACTGGAATCCCATGAAAAGTTGCCTTAACGAAACACACCATACAAAAGATACCTAACATGTCGTTTGTATACTCCTTTTTATCATGTTTTTGATCTTTAATAAAACATTATAAAATGTTAATAAATGTTAACCGCTTTCAAATTCAACTAAACTATAGCAAATAATGGTATAAGTATGGGAATTGGTAACGTTAAAACTTACCAATAATTCAACTTTTCCTAGCAGACATTTGATTCAATTCAAATGTCTATATATGCATATTTATCATTGTTTTATGATAAATAATATATTTGACTGATTTATATGATATTTATGTGTATATAATTACATAGATTAATTGTATTTTACATTTGTATTTTTTTCTTTTTTTGGTATAGTTTAGTTTGATTTTAAAGATGGGGGAGCTACAATCCTTGTCGCCACTATCGAATACGTTGCGAACGATACGAGAAGTTTCGAACTATACTATAGATAGTTAAAGACAAGCGTCCTCTCTTGTGCCTTTGAATTTCGATTATTGACACGTGTACGTTTAGCTTCCTTTTTCTCTAACTTTATATACATTTTTAAGAAATTAATCAAATAAATTAGAAAAATGAGGATATTTTGCGTACTGTTAACTTTGCTCGTGATCACTGTCACTTCGTTAGCTCGTCCTCAGGGTGAGTATAGTCTTATCTATACACACACACACACACACACACACACACACATCTATATATATACATTATTTCTATGTAAAACGAAACGTATGTATATGTATATACATACACACACATCGTCTGCTATCGTTTGTTTTCTTTTTCGTTGCGTCGGGTAACGCAATACGCCAAATGATATTCGTTAGATTTTAATGCGCATCCAATATGACAGCGCAGATTTAAATTTAGATTTTATTGATCTACTCGTTTGAGCATATTTTTTTTTTTTATTCAAATAGAATCAAATAAAATGCATCATTTTTTGACATTGCAGAATCAGAAGATGCGAACAAGACTACAACTGCAGTACCTTTGACGCCTACAATTAAAAATAATGATTCTCCAAGTGGTACACCAGCATCTATGGGAAAATCTAACGAGAAACCTAATAATGTTATTGCTCATACTACTCCAAGCGTTGTTACTACTACTGCTGTCAAATTAAAAGAAGACGTCAGCAAAATTACTAGTGCTTTAACGAAAACTGCAGTAACTCCTGTAACAGCAGATTCTAAAGCTGATTTGTCATCTTCTGCGATTCCAACAAACGATAAAACTACTTCTAAAACTACTATTATTGCTACTACTGTTACTACTACTGCTGCACCGCCTACCAAATCGACTACTTCTTCTACTACTATTACTACTCCTGCTGCTGCTGCTGCTGCTGCTGCTGCTGCTACTTCTCCTACTACTGACATTGTTACTACCAATAGTAGCAATATAGTTCCAACTTTAGGAGATATAACAACAGCAGTACCAGTTACAACAACATGCCCACCATCGGATCGTCATTTTGATGGTCTTAGCTTTCTAGGTATAATAATATTTAATACATTTCAATGAATGTAACTTGTCAATTGTTGTTTTCTTTTTTTTTTTTTAAACTTAATAATGAACTTTTTAACATTGTTTCAGGTGGTATTATTTTAACTCTCTGCTTGATCGGAATTGGAATCTTTCTTTGCAAATATTGTCAACACGTTTGCGAAGATAAATATCGTACACTATGACTAATTACGTAATTTTAGTGTAATATATTTCATTTGTTGCTGTAAACCACCGATACATAGATCTCTAAATATTAGATCATATTTTATTTATTTTAGTTATATCGCTTATAGATAAATTCTATATTTTGTTAATTAACGCGTATAACGCAACACGTATTTATGTATTTTGTTTAGTTAGTTTAACGATGTCGTGCTTATTTTTTTCTTATTTGTATAAAACGCGAATAGATCGAAGTAAATCGATCAATAATCTATCTTTCTAACGACTCAAATGAGAAAAGAAAAACATTACGAATCTCAACGAGAGGATGAACTCCCTCAATTGTAAAAGAGTAAGAGTAGAGAGTAAAAGAGTAGTAGTATTTGCACAAACGAGTACAATTAGTTGAAGTAGTTATATTTTACTTTTGTATTGTATCAAAGAAAAATTATAGAATCTCGGCCGAGCAACGAGGCTCTTCTTGTTTGTATAATATACACACACACATATATATATATATATATATATATATATATATATGTACTTCTTTTATGTATATGTATCTTTATTAAAAGAAACAAATGTATATAATAAATAAATCTCAAAATTGTTCCACATTAGGAACGATTCACTCACGTAAATAATTGCATTATATCCAAATACTTTATTCCACCTGTTTAACATTAAAATACGTTAATATTATTTAATTACAAAAGTAGAAATTAAATTAATCAATTAATTACTAATACTATATATATTAGGGAAGTAAAACTAGATCCTATAATAAATTAGAGTATGACTTTATAATTTTAATAATATGTATATATTAGGTTGGCAAGAAAGTAATTTCGGTTTTCTAATGTGAAATAAAACTCAATTGTTTCTAAATTAATAGTTGTAAACAAAATTCTAACATTAACAAACAAAATAACGAAAGAAACATAACTTTATCTATTGGTGCAAGCCGAAATGATTTTCTTGCCAACCCAATATATATATATATATTGCGCAGACGTGGTTCAGAGATCTTCCCCTATCATGGATTCAAGTTGTATCTGAAGGAGACGAAAGAGAGCATGCCCAGTTTTATTCCCCTATTTTACTTTACTCCGCAGCATCCCCTTTTTCCTCTGGAGGGAACAACACGTACTCCACACACAATAACACGATCAACTACTACTTCGTACACACGTACAATTATACACATACACAAATATACACATGTGAGTATATGTCAGCCACTAACAACCCCTTACCATCCCCAACTACCCCTATTTTCTCTATGTATGTGTTTCCTAAGCATGAAGCTTCTTTGGAAGCTTTTGGTGACATACATATACACCCATAACATATCATACACAACCTAACAATCTACTAATACATCGATAAAAATGTATATATATATATATATATATATATAAATGGCGACGGGTTTACGCAAAAGTCTGGACCGAATGCAGCGCGGCAAGACGCGTTGCAGCGCAGATAGGCGGCAAAGGCGAGGCATCAGTCGGGCTCAAACGTGCGCTCGTCGCGGGTTCAATCCCTACGAAGAACGGTGCTTGCTTGTTCGTTCTCTCTTTTTCTTATTTCATCGATTGATATCCAAAATTTATCTCTAGATAAACGTAATTTTCGGTTCACCAAATCATTTTAACACGTACACACGCACGTATGCAAGCATGCTGCACGGATGCTGTGATTTTTATGCATACAAAATTATTCATTATAATTAACGAGATTAATAATAATAATAATAATAATACATTTGTTGTGTACAATTAATTAATTAATTAACCGTATGTAAAATAATCTTCGTTTTATTTTATTTGAATATTCGATAATATCAGAATTTCTTTTTTTGTTTCTTTCGAACCTTTTTTGGATTGTTTGAAAAATGATTACTTTTATCCTCGTGACAAAAAAAAATTAAATAAAAAATAAAAAAGTGTATATTAATTTACGAAGAAAGGATCGCGAATAAATGATTTTCGTTTAAAAAAAGAAATATTACGAAATGATATCTCAAGAAGAAGAATAGAAGATCTGTTGAGATGGTTATTCGTCGTCGCCATTAAATTCCAGTGAACGGGGGGGTGTATTATTTTATTGGAGAAATTTGTTTTTCTTTCATAATTATTTATCTAAAATAATAATGATTTAAAAATGGATAAATCGTATTTATGAAATATCGTGAAAAAATTATAATACCACGTTATAAGGTCAAATACGGTTTTAATATAAGAAAATATGGCGGAGAGGTACGCAGAGGGTGTTTATTGATCGGGATGAAAATTTCATGGTGAAATAACTATTATAGCCGGGGGATCGTCGTCCCGGGTGGGTAACATTCGAACTTGAGATTGGATCAGTAAGCATCGAGAGGCAGGAAATATCCATCACCTTCTTTTCATTAAAACTCTTGTCACCTCTAGTGTTTGACCTTTGTAAGAAAAAATAATCGACTAAATACTCTTTCCAATCATTTCTAAATCATTTCTAAATCATTTCTATTGAATTTCATCTCAAATCGCAACCCTCTCCACTCATCCTTCGTTCCCCAACTTCTTTCGTACAAATTGGTATTATTTATTTTGATGAAAAATCATTTTTTCCATGATAAATTAATCGATTGATCATTTTCTTTTTTTTTTTTTTTATTTAAAAAGTAATCCTTGACAAATAAATAAGAAAATATTTGTCTAGCTTAAGTGTCCTTTTTTATTTCATTTTTTTGTTTGACGTTTTATCATAGATAAAATCACATAATTTGAAGATTAAAGAAAAGTATGAAATAATAATAAAGTTACGTCAATCACGGATGACAATCAACGAAGGGAGGGTGGGGATCCCTTTAAAAGTGATGAAATACACCGGTCACGGTTGACCACTGGTAACAGTCAATAAGGGATGAGATAGCAGTCAAGAGAGAAAGAGAGAGAGAGAGAGAGAGAGAGAGAGAAAAATCACCGGATGTGATTAGATGTCGTGATTCAATCTCATGTTAACTGATTGTGTCGTCATTACGTTTGACTATTTTATTTCAACACCTTTTGTGTCTGTGTATGTGCGTATGTGATTTCAACTATTATCATCGTGCTATATTATTTATTACTGTATTTATGAACGTCTGTGATTGATGAACAACAAGAACAACAAAACAACAATAAAAAAAAAAAAATCAAATAACACGAGATGAATTTTCATTGTGTCAAAGGTAAATGCATATATAAAAATATAAATCTCTTTTTCTTATTTAATACGAATTATTATACGTACGATTGGTAACGATCAATATTAATTAATTAAATATAATTTCATTTCAACGATCGTTATCCTATTTTTTTTTTTTTTTATTGAATTGGGGAAAAAGTTAATTAACAAATCGAAAAAAAAAACAAAAAGGAGAAAAATAATAAGGGCAATATACGAAGAACGGTGGCTGCCGTTTAACCTTTGAACCGAGAGTTGCTTAGCCAGAACCAGCCAAACGATCGATGAAAATGGACCGAAAATATTCCCTTCTCCTTCCTACCCATAATATCATTTTCTTCAAATAATGTTATCATTGATCAACTTATTTTTCTTCAATTCAAGAACGACTTTTGGTTTTTAAAGAGAAAGACAGAAAGAACATTTTGTTGATTATAAAATCAAATTGATAAATTATTTAACAGAAATGTTTCAAGTTAATGGTGTGATATCTTAGTGATGGTGCCGGAGATGAATCCATGATTGGCGGAAATGGCATAACTGATTGGCCGATATTTCATAATTTCCGGTACGGCAATCGGTGTGGGTGGTATCCTCTCCTATTACCGAGACAGGCACCAAGATCCGTCCGGATGTATCTACTTAAATCCGCAAAAAAAAAAAAAAAAATAATATGAAACGTGTTTAAACCCCATTGATAATTTTGACGAATACAAATGTTTTTGTCTAGGTTGTTTAACATCAAACAAATTCAATTCTATTTTACAATATTCCAAAGAAAAAATGATCGATTTGAAAATGAAACCGTAGAAAAAATAAAATAAACAAAAAACTGATCACGATTAGTTATGCTTTTCTAATTTTACACACACACACATATATACATGAATTGTTTTGTTTTTTTTTTTCTAAAATTTTAGGTAAACGCAAGACGTATCAAAATTTAATAACAATAATAATAAGCAAACGTAGTACACGTGATGCGTCAAAATATTGAACAATTCCGAATGACTGTGACACGTACGAATAATAATAATAACAATAATAATAATAATAATAATAATAATAGTAAGAAGAATAATAATAACAACAGATTGTTGGAAGTATCAAGGGAATATAATCGTCGTGTTATATTGAAAGAAAGATTAAAGTTACGTTTGTGGCATCATGGCCACGTGCGTTTTAATAAAATTTTGACGAGACACCAAGGTGTAATCCTCAAAGGTAAAAATTAATGTTATAATTATACAATAATGTGATACTAAATGACAAATAAATATGAGAATAAATTTGGTAGGATACGTTAATGGTCTAGAGGATAATAATTCACTGGACGAAGTAAAAGAGTAATGATCAGAGCAAAGCGGTTTGATTTGATAACCGCGACTGTTAATCCGGTGATTCCAGTCACCTGGAGTCGACAATCAAATCAAAGACAAGACAAATGTAACAAATATTCATTGCTGAAAATCTTGTTAATATTGTGTTGCATAACCGGTGCTTATTGCGATCAATACGAGTCGAAAAAGAGATTTCCACGTGGCATGAAGGATCTACAAGTAGTCATAAACAATGATAAACCTTTATATGGTCGTTGTGATTTCGAAACTATCTGTCATTGGTATTGGATGAACAATACTCAGGCGTTAATAACCAATAAAGGCCTTTTAGGAGTGTTAGTAAATGCATCTAGAACGAAAGGTAAATAAATTATTGTTCATTGTTTTTTTCTTTTTTTTTTTTTTTTTATTATTATTATTATTTTTATTTTTATTATTATGCATTTATTATTATTATTATTATTATTTGGGTAATCTTGAATAACAATTGATTATTTTATTGAAGGAAAATATTTAGAATTTACTGGCAGCGGCAAGGGTTCAGTATATTCCACTTACATACCACGAAGTGGATCACATTGTCATTTGACTGTGAGAATTGTACAAAAACAAATGAAAAATGGAGAAATTTATTTCATAATAAATACGAGAAATCAGACATATGTTGCTAGTAAACGTACTGGTAATAATAATGGCGAGTAAGTATAATATCGATAGGACAATTTATTGATATAAACAATAAATTATAATGAAAAATATGATGATTTGTATTCAACGTTATAGATGGGAGTTATTACATTTCAACATCGGTTCTATTCCGCAAGAATTTCGTCTAATTTTAGAATTTGCTTTACCAAATAATAAATCAATCGTAGGTATTGATGATATTCGTTTGGTCGATTGTTTTCCAGGTAATCAAATTAATTTCATTATTTTATTATAATTATTATATTAATTGACTAATTATTGATAATTTTTAATCAATAATAATAATAATAGATAATCCACTAGAAGTTATAAATTGCACGGACGACATGTTTCGTTGCAATAATGGTTCCTGTTTGAATAGAACAAGAATATGCGATTTGACGAAGGATTGTCCCGAAGGAGAAGACGAAAATCAAGAATGCGGTAATCTTAGAAAATTATTTTTAACAAAATGTTCAACAAACATGAGTACTCGAACAGGATGAAGAAATCGATCGTGTTAATAATCGAATAATTCATTTTCAGATAAAGTACCGCCATGTGCTAGATGCAATTTCGAAGATGGTTGGTGCGGTTGGAAAAATGTTCCAGGAAATGTATTCAATTGGACTCTTAATAATGGTCCAACGCCATCAGAAAAATCTGGACCAAATTATGATCATACTTATCGCAATATAACGGGTATAACACATTTTTCTTTCTTCTCATTTTAGATAGATCCATTCTCAAAAATACCAAAGCCTTTTTACCGTTGTTCCGGTCGTATGTTTGCTCTCAGTCAAGTCATGCAAGAAACCGTGCTAATCTTAAATATATAAAAAACCAATACGACACCCATGTCCAAAAATTGAATACGTTAGAAAAGGGGTTGACGAAAATGTTTCTAAGAATATTTAATCATTTGATCTCATTTGAATTTAGGAACATACGTTTATGTGAATACCGCTAAAGGATATTATGGTTACGAAGGATTATTGGAAAGCCCGTTGTTTAATCCAACACCACCATATAGTAACGATCCAAATAGTTCTTATCATCATAGTTGTCAAGTAAGTATATAATAGAATTCTTCTCATCGTTCTGTCATCATTTATTCTTGGATTTTATTTCAAATTACAGATACGATTTTTTTATCATCGTCACGGTGTACCTCGAGGTTCTTTAGGATTATTTTTGGTTCAAGTTAAACCACATAGAAATCATACGCAATTATTATGGTGGTCTTCTACCGATAAAAGCGACGATTGGTATAATCAAGCTATACCTCTTCCAGAAATTCGATTTAGGTATGTAATCAATTAAATAAATGATAATAGTAATAAGATTAATGTGTTAACATTTACGTTTTAGATATTATTTTGTATTTGAAATAAGAAAAGGATATGGTTCGAAAGGTGATATAGCTATAGATGATATTTCACTCAGTCCAGAATGTTTTGGTATAGGTAAGTTTTAAATCTAAACTTATTTCTAAACTATCACTGTGTAATACTTGGAACATTGGCCATTGAAAGTTTTTTTAAAAATTAATTCTTGAAAAATATTAACGACGGGCCCCTGACGACGTTTCACTGCGACGTACACGTGCAACCATTAAAGTGTTAATAATATGAATAAACATCATTAAAAAATTGCAAACTTTTGTTTGATGTTCAGGTGTACCACCAGAAGTTGTTGGATCTTTTGATTATTATAATCCAATAATAGAATCTGAAATTATTCCTGAACCACACATTGACTTTGTTAATAAAACAGGTATAAGCAATTGAATGACATTTTTCTTCTTATATATTCTATCTGTATATTATTATTATTATTATTATTATTTTGATTATGTTTCTTTATTATAGTCATTCATATTACTACTTGTGGTGCTACTGGTAGAGTAGGTCCGACCGTAGAACAATGTATGGAAGAACATAATGGAACTGATGTCAAATTGGTCGAATTACCATCTAAATCCTATCAAGCGAATTTTCCTTTTGCCAATTTAACTGGAATTCAAAGTTGGATAGCACCAAGTGGTGGATATTATACGTAAGAATATTTGTTATTATTATTATTATTAATTGGCATTAGGAAGTGGAAAGTTCATTGCCGCAAATACCAAATATCCCGGGGCCATTGTTCCCGTCCTACCTAGTGGTCTTTTACCATTCGGTATACCGACCAATATTTTGTGTTTTAATTTAAAGAGTTAAATCTAAAAATGTATCGAGATGTAATCGAGATTTGATTGAAATTGAAAATAATCTGTTAATAGTTTAATTGGAATGGGTGCACGTGGTGGACGTGGTGCCAGTGATATTGGCAATTCCTTTGGTGCGCTTGTTCGTGGTGTCGTTGAATTAGAAAAGGGTGAACAACTTTATTTTATGATTGGACAACCTGGTACTGACGCGTGTCCTAAGGTAAGAATATTTTTAACAAATCTTTCATTCCATCATAGATCAGGTAACTGGTATAGCCAACCTTTAGGTAGCAAAAATGCATATGTTCTTCTTATATATGAAATGGTTCGAAAATGGAAAGTGTGGTTGAATTTGAATGAAAATGATTAATGAATTTGTAGAATTTAGGATTGAGGGCAAAAAAGTGTCACACACGACACGATGGAATAACAGAATTGGGTGGTGTGCCGTCTGTAATGGAAAAAGTTAGAAAAATGGAGGTGAAAGATGGCGGAGGTGGCGGAGGTGGTGCTACTTATATATTTACCGTGAGCAAAATTGATTTATTAATTAAATGGAAGACAAATGAAAGCTGCAATTTAAATTGCATATAAATTGTTTTACAGGTAAAGAGCAATAATGATCACGAACCGTTGTTAATCGCTGCCGGTGGTGGTGGATTGGGATTACGTTTTGGACAAGATAATGATGATGGTATACAACATGGGAAAGGTCTTTCAGAAATTTCGAACAAACCTGATTCTGGATTAGCGATTACTGAAAACGCAGGTATTGTCAAAAGACCGAGCGGTTATTTTTTTTTTTTTTTTTTTAAACCCTCGAACCCTCGAACCCGAATATAATATTAATTGAAACATAGGTCCTGGGGGTGGTTGGAATAGTTCAAGCAGTGTATCACGAATAGCAGCTGGTGTTCCTTTGGTTCGGGGAGGATATGGTGGTGCTGGTTGTGGTTCAGGAAAAGAAGGTTACGGTAATGGTGGATTTGGTGGAGGTGGTGGGGGTTGTTTAACAGGTGGTGGGGGTGGTGGTTATATAGGTAAATACAATTTGTTAAAAAAATTTCTTTCATACACCCGTTTCTATCTAGAATTCTATCAAATGTTTATACTCACGTGGATAAGTGTGTTATGTGTTAATATTCATAACAGGAGGTAGTACAGGTTTAAAGGATTCCGGTAATGGCGAGGGTGGATATTCTTACGTTTCGCGTGAACTGCTTCACGTTTATTTTAAACCTGCTGCTAATGATGGACCAGGTGAAGTTTATATAATACCTGCCATTAGTAATTGCGGTTGTGATTTTCGTTGCGTTGCTCTCGATCAATATTTGAGCGAGATCAAATGTTTGTGTCCACTTGGTTGGATACTCGATAACGATTCCAGATCCTGTAACAGTAAGTTAGCAATGTTATTATTAATATCAGGGTGAATTTTGTAACTGGGACGGGTTTATTACCCTCCTCCGTTCCAAGAATCACCCTGAATTACGTACATCAATATTTTCTTCGTTTATAATATAATTATTCGTGTATATTTTCAGTGGCCAACGATTCAAATGTGTCTTATCAAAAGTTTATGATTTCGTTAATAGTTTCCAGTACTATTTTATTATTAGTTTTCACCGGAGTCGGTTGGATGCTTTGTAAGAAATTAGACATTTTTTTGATTTCATAAATTGTAATAAAAAATTATATAAGCTTTTATTTGTTCATTTTGCAGATAATCGTTATCAGAATCGTAAAGCTCTTTTACGACGTCGTCAAGTGATGTTTGGAAACGGTACCGAATTGACAGCATTGGGAACTGTCTCGGACTCTATGATGACAGAATTTAACCCTAATTACGAATTCGCTGGTAATTTATATAGTATTAAAGATTTATATCAGATACCACGTGAACATATCACTTTGGTTAAGTAAGTATTTGAATACTTATTATTTAAAATTTATTCGATTCAATGATAGTTTGAACATTAATTCATATTGATTTTGTGATATCTCGGAAATCAGACCACTTGGACAAGGTGCTTTTGGTGAAGTATTTCAAGGAGTATACAGATACAGACGTAACGAGGAACACCCAGTAGCTGTTAAAACTTTACCATCATTGACAACGTCACAAGCTGAAGCTGATTTCATGATGGAAGCCCTTATCATGAGTAAATTTAGTCATCCCAATATAGTACATTTTATTGGAGTATCTTTCGACAGGCATCCAAGATATATCGTATTAGAATTATTAGCTGGTGGTGATTTGAAAAATTTTCTTCGAGAAGAAAGACCGAGACCGGTTGGTTAATAATCATTGATTTATTTATTTATTTGTTTGTTTGTTTGTTTGTTTGTTTGTTTGTTTGATAAAATCAAAATCATGAAAAAATAACAAATCGATCTGTCATTAACAGGATCGTCCAACCACTTTAAATATGTACGATTTGATAATGTGTGGTTATAATGTTGCCAATGGTTGCAAATACATGGAAGAAGCACGTTTCATACATCGCGATATTGCTGCACGTAATTGTCTTCTCACGAGCAAAGGATCTGGTCGTATTGTCAAAATTGCAGACTTTGGTATGGCTAGAGATATATACAGAAGTGATTATTATAGGAAAGGTGGTAAAGCAATGTTACCTATTAAATGGATGCCACCAGAAAGTTTCCTCGATGGTATATTTACAACGAAAACCGACGTATGGTTAGTTTTACTTTTTCTTAAATGAAAAACAAAACGAACAAAATAACATTTAACTTTTTTTTAAATGATTTTAGCATCGTAAAATGATCATTGATTACAAAATAATCTTTAACTAATTGTTTCCCCATTTACTGATTTTCATTATTTAAAGGGCTTTCGGTGTTCTTTTATGGGAAATCATGTCGTTTGGATATATGCCATATACCGGTTGTGCCAATCGTGAGGTAATGACAATGGTAACGTCAGGTGGTCGTTTGGAAAAACCAGCTGGTTGTCCTGATCCAATTTATGGAATAATGACACGTTGTTGGCACCCAATACCGGAAGATAGGCCTAGTTTTGCTACCATCACTGAAAGAATCGATTATTGTTTACAGGTAATTTAGATCTGCATTTCAATCTGAACATCAATTATTGTCCTAATTGATATAACATAACAAAATGAAGTATCATGTTATATATATATATATTAAAAGAATCTTTTGTTTATTAGGATCCCGATGTGATAAATCATCCAACACCGAATTATGATATTTTACCAGCATGCGATCGTGAAATAACTATTATGAGACCGGATCCTGAAACGGAATGCATCAATGTACATTCTGACGTGAGTAATGTTTATTGTATAATCTAGGCGGGCGGTGTGGGGGGGGGGGAAAGAACTGTACAAAATCGTATCTACATTTATTTGCAGTCAGCGATAATGGATGGTTACATGCAACCAAGAGAAATGGATTTTCGTTCAGTTTCTTATCGCATTGAATCAGCTACAAATAACATGGCACATAATCATCAAATAAAATTCGATAGTGGAACTACGAACGATAATATAACACGAACGAGAGATACTCAACAACAACAACAACAACAACAACAACCAGGACAAAGTAATTCATATAAAGATAATTCAAAGAATATTGATAACGAGGATAATTTTGGAAATGCGATTCTTGACAACGATCGCAATAAAAGAACCGAGGTAAATATAAATATGAAGGAAAATAAAATAATATAAATGCACTTGCCTACCAAATTTTCTTCTTAAGGGATTAGAGTTAATATATTTAAGGATAAATAAATATTACAAATAATATTTCATTTTGTTGAAGGATGAACGTAACGAAAGCTTTAGGATGAAAGACGAGACGAAAGAAAATTCAGAACCTTCGGATAATGGAAACGATCCAGCCGATGATCAGGAAGATTTTTTTAGCGAAAACAGCGATGGAACTGATTTAGCTGCTGATAGAAAAAATGGTAATGAAAGTACTACAACGACTGATACTAATTCCGATTCGATGGCAGTTGTACCGGCTAATACGTCGACCGATACGACGAGTAATTCAACACCTAACACGCGTACTTGTTCTCCTAATCGGATCGTACTCAATGCTAACGTTAACAATGTCAATGGTATATTGAAGAAAAGTGCGTTAAAGGCTGCACTGAGTTTAGATCCAAGCGCTTTGTACCGTGGCACGATACATTACGAGAAGATACCATTTTCTGCACCACCAGAACGTTCCAGTACACCTGGAAGTATCGAATTAACCAAGGTAAACACAGATGATCCCTACATTTTGTCATTTTAAAATGTTCTCCAGATTTTTCTTTTAGTAACGCCAATTAACTTGAATCTTGTTAACCATTTTCTTAACATTCTACTTCAAAATGTATTAATGAAAAACAAACAAACAAACAAAAAATGATTTAAAGTTTATCATCACGGAGAAATAAGATTTGTTCCTTTAATCAGATGAAAATACCTTTTCCTATCTTCGATGTAATTTCTTCTCATCTTGACCATCTTGACCATCATTTTCTTTGTTGTTTTTTTTTTTCATTTATTTCTCATGTTCATATAGGATTCTCTTGGACACGAGTTACCTAGACAGGAGGAATGTTCTTGCTGAGAATTGTATGACGGGGGCTGACCGGATTCCCCCGCAAATGACCCTACAATGGCGGTAATTGCTAACAAAAATTGCAAACAATTGCAAAGATCAGCTACCATTTCCGCGATAACGTTTAAATTGACGCAATCATCGACCATACTTTGGACATCCGCTGACGAGATGTCTTCGCGATTTTATTCCCAGGAGACCCTACTATGAACAATCCTGCGACAACATTGTTCCAACATCTTTTATCTTTTTTACTTTTCTTATTTTTTTTTCCTCTCTTTTTTTTTTTTTTTTTATTTCTTTCCCATGTTCCTAGACACATGGTGGACCTAAAATTCTTGATAGCAATGAGAAATCAGGGAAATATTACAATTAGAGAACATAATTGTATATAAATATAAAATTGGAATAATTGATTTCTTAATAAATTGTAATTCAAAATTAATCTGATACAGTGTGCATCATCTGTTGATTGGCGTTACAAATTTGATTACAGACTTTTACTAATCTATTCTTTTGTAATTTGTTTATTATTAGAACGTTAACTATCAAATAACATGTGTGTGATGACATACTATTGAAAAGTACAAACATACTTCTCTTCTGTGTAAGAATCATCATTTATTTCATTTATAATAATGAAATCTGTAACACCAATTAATTATGCACACGTATTAGATTGACATTTTTTATTGCAATTTATGAAGAAACAAACGAGATTTCGTTATTCATTGATTTACATTTTTTCTTCATTTTGAACTTGATTATTTCTCAGATCTCACTTGTATCAAAAATTTTGATCCCACTTTATATACGTAAATGTATATATATATATGTATTACATGTACAAATATGAAACTGTATAGTAACAAATTATTACAATGACGAATGCAAAAAGATTTATAAGTGATTACATTATGAAAAGTACAAGAAGAAAAAAGAAAAGAAAAGAAAAGAAAAGAAAAGAGAATATTGCAGATATAATATATTCGTGCGTTTTGTTTTTGGTTGCACATTCCAATAATTATTTATTGTTTTGTTTTAAGATAAAAAAAAAAACAAATTGATTTGTGAAACGAATCAAGTGACTCGTTCTGTACAATAATTATTACGTTAAAATACTAAATCACAACGACTGTGACAATGGGAACGATTTGTAATGTTTACAATGATGGTAATTTATTAAATGATAATTATAGAAATAAAATAGTAATTATCGTGCAATGTTTAATAACATTATTTGTAGTTGTAGCAGTAGTAATAGTAATAGTAATAGTAGTAGTAGTAGTTGTAGTAATATTAATTAATGGTAATGATCGAAATAGCAACGACAACATTGGCAAACAACAATTGTAGTAAGAAACAAAAAAACAAAATGTATTTAAAATGAATCAATTTGTCATCGAATCAAGTATGTGTGTGTGTGTGTATGTGTGTGTGTGTGTGTGTGTGTGTGTGTGTGTGTGTGTGTGTATGTGCACCACTACCTTTCTCAAATACATAATACTATATACAATGATATTTCGATAATTCAACACAACCATCATAGAAAATACAAATAATGTGCCAGGGTATATATATAAAAAAAAAAAAAAAAACCACTAATTTAGCGAACAATTACAAAGACAAATATTCAATATTTTAAATATATTTGTCATTTGGGTAATAAACATGTATTAGGATAACGGTAATTGTAACTATAATCATGTGAGTAGGATCACAATGTCTATGGAAAGAATATTTAATAATGTTCTATTGAAGAATAACAGGAATAACATGAATAATAATAATAATAATAATAATAATAATAATAATAATAATAATAATAAAAATAATAATAATAAGTGGTTAAAGAGGACGAAACAATCTACTAATAATATTAATAATATTAATATTAATTAATTGTAAGAATAATAAGAAAGAGGAATGAATATACGAATAATAGTAATAGATATTATTATAATGTAATAATAATAAGTTAAAAAAAAAAGGATATTGAAATAAAAATGAAGATGATTCGTCCGTACTAGAACGAATTAACGCGATTCAGAGTTGGGTATTATTCGTGTGATTACATTTTTATTAATTTATTTGAATAAAATTGTATTCGTTATTAATATATTATTTGTATATACGTTTTGTTCATTGTACCTATTTAATCCACAAAATGAATATCCTTGTATAATAACGATATGAAAAATGAATAATTATTTTTAATTGTAAGAAAAAAAGCGATTCGCGAATGAAACATTTTTCATTGTGATAAATAAAATAAGAAAGATTTTTTTGTTTTGTTTTTTTTTTTTTTTTTTTTGTATCGTTCGTAACAATTATACCCAACTCTGATTACATATTACTAATAAGTAAATTTATTTGAATGTCTAATCGAAATTGAAATTCGAAGCGTTCCTATCGGTGCACATCATTTTTGTTCATATAAAGATTAATGTAAATCTCAATTATGTAAATCAATTGACGTCATTTTTTTTTTTTCGTAAAAAAAAAGAATCACGTAAGAATGTGTCGAAAGTAAAGGAACCTTCGCAAAAAATATTAAAAGAAAAAGAAAAAGAAATTGAAAGACAAAGAGAGAAAGAAAGAAAGAGAGAGAGAGAAATAAGAGACAATATTATAACGAAACGTGAATTTTGCCGGTCTAATTAAAAAAAAAATTCTATCTTAAAGAAGAAATCGCCATTATGTCCGCCATATTGAATACGCAAATCTACGTCACATATTTTTCGTATTTTCTTGAATTTTACTACGATGTAAAATTTCAAATATCGTTCGCAATAAACTATAATAACGGGGTTATTTAGTATATTATATATATTTGATGGTGAGAAAAAGAAGAGCACAAAAGCCCTTTTTTACTTTTCTTACAAGAAGGACAAGAACGACGATACAACGATGTAACTCGTGTAAGTGTGTTTAGCTTGTATGTACAACAACACCCTTTAAATATCGCACGCACCATCACCAATCCCTCATCGAAAATCACCCATGTTTTCTCATGTATGATAATAAAGAGACATGTTTATGGAAAAATCTTCAAAATTGATAATCAATCGTAAATTCAAATTCGTACTTTTTGATACGTTGATTTATTTTTATGCTATTAAGGAAACTTTTCATTTCTTCCTCTTCTTCTTTTTATTTTCTGTTTCTTCTGTAATACTTGTTAAATAATAATATGAAATAATTAAGAAGTAATTAATAACAGACCAAATCTGATTAATATCCCTGCAATCTTAAAAATTTGTGATTTTAATGATTCATTTTAAATTGGTCACCTATATAAGTTTTACAATTTTGATGATATGAAGAAATGTTTGATGTACAAGTTGTTTGATTTTTTATTAGATGGTAGTACGTAGAATATGCAATGGTCATGGTAATTTTTTAAAATGGAATCATGCATTTTTAAATACCTACAAATGTAGTTCTCTTTTATTATACCTTTTCAAAAATTAAAACCTTTATATTGGCTTTCGTCTAATATCTTATCCATTATTTTTCGTATGCATCAACGGTCTCAGTAATTGAAGCAGAATTATTATGTACAGTTAATATCCATTTGTGAAAATAACCTGTAACAATTATTCAATAATTTCATTACTTTAAAGTTTAAATTACTAAATTACTTTGTGTGTGATATATAATAGTAGTAATAATAATAATAATAATAATAATAATAATAATAATATATAGACCATATTGTACTTACAAATCCATTATTTGATTAAATATTATTTTTCATTATATAATTTTGATAATATTATTTCATTGATAGCAATATAATTAAATACCACATATAAATAAAAAAAATTAGTATAAATATAATAAATATCTATAAAAAATACTACATCTATAAATATATATATATATATATGTATATAAATCAAAAAATTAGTTAACACGTTGACTAACAACGTTGGTGGTCATCCTTGACCATCATCTGTTTCAATACTATTCATTTAATGGGATCACGTAAGTTATTCATAATCGACATTACTATATTATTTTATAATTTTTATATTAAAATCTGTACAATCAACGTGTTAAAATGAACAATAATATTCAAACAACTTACACAAAAGCAACAATCCTTTGATATCATTCACTTTTTGACTTTGATTAAAAATATTGCTTATACAATTGTATTTACTATACATAACCATACATATAGCAAATTTATCAAGTTCTCTTTTAATTGTTTTACCATGGCGATATTCTTTTGCTCTGCATCATCTGAAAAAGAAAAAAGAATATTAGAATATATAAAATAAAATATTCGATTACATTTCTTGTATATGTATATATATATATATATTAAAAAGATACACTCTTACGGTACCCGTGAAAACTACTGTCACAACGTAGGGTGAGTTTAGTTGATTTTCTACATCGTCCATAACCTCAAAACGTCTTGGCATTATGCATCATACATTTGCGTAACTTGGTGCTTGAAAGATAAAACACGCATATAAAAATAACAATAATAATAATAATAATAATAATAATAATAACAATAATAATAAAAATAAACACAAGTTATTTTTTACAAAAATATTCATAAACTAGCATTTTAAATAATTTGACATTGTTGTGATTATTAATTAATAATAATGAAAATATTATTACGTTCGGGTATTGCGAGAGCTTTCGGAGTCAGAGTAAGTTTACATTGTTATATTTCATTTCTTTTTTGTCCTTCTACCACTCATTTCCTTAACAATTCATTTTTTAATGTTCGTTCACTTTAATTCAATTGTTCTTTATTCTTTCTTTATTTATTTCATTTTAAATTTCTATCATCGTGTAGTCAAAAAAATGTTACAGTCAATCAATGATGGAAAACAAAGATCATATTTTCTTTTTTGTCTCTATTAGAAATAATAGTATTTTTTTTATACTATTATTCTATAATATTGTTGTTATTGTCTTTATTTATACACCATTATGTTATTAATTTTTTCCATTTTATATTCATGCAAGTAGAATGTCTTTTCTTTTTATGAGCTCTTCAGCTCTCTTTTGTTTTTCTATTATTGCATTATTATATCATTAAGCAGTGTTTTGTAACAATATTGTAATGTGATAAATGTCTCTAATAAAATACAGATAATATAGCACAAATAGAATTACTGACAATGACCTATTTAAGTTCTTTCAAGTTTTTTCATTCTATATTATCTCTTATTGTTAATAAAAATATGCATGGGTATTTTGGACTTTGATCATACAATGTTCTTTATATACACACACACTCACACACAAATTATATATACACAATATATGTATTTCGTCATTTGGTATAAAAATATACTTACCTATTTATCTGTATTAACAAGGTAGGTATATTTTTATAAGTGACATTGAAATGCATCTGTAAGATATATTATAACATAAAGTATGTGTCAAAAGCATAATGCAACATGCATTAATAATCTTCAAATATTTCTGAGATGTTATATAATAAAATGTATTCATTTATTGATATTTGTTGTTTTTTTTCAGAATATAAGCTCTAATCCCAAATTTGGTTTAATATTCGACATAGATGGTGTTATAGTAAGAGGAAAAAATGTATTACCACCAGTTGCGGAAGCGTTTAAAAAACTTAGAGGAGATGATAATAAATTTCGTGTACCAACTGTATTTGTAACGAATAGTGGAAATTCATTGCGCAGTCAAAAAGCAGCCGATTTGTCCAAATGGATTGGATTTGAAATATCAGAGTCACAAGTTATCTTAGCGCATTCTCCATTGCAAATGTTTCACAAGCTTCACGACAAGCAAGTTTTAATATCGGGACAAGGACCGGTCAGAGAAATAGCCAAAGAGTTGGGTTTTAAGAAGACTACTACGATTGATGAATTAGTTCAAAATTTTCCAAGTTTGGATTACATCAATGTATTGAAAAGAAATCCGCAGAGCGGACCCATAGATCCTAATTTTCCAAGAATAGAAGGTATCGTGTTATTCAGTGAACCAACATCTTGGGAAACTCCATTACAATTAATAGTGGATCTTTTAATGACCAATGGAATGCCCAGTAAACTGCCAACAGACATTCCATATCCACACATTCCAGTATTGGCATGTAATATGGATTTATTGTGGGTATCTGAAGCACCAATTCCTAGGTACGGCCATGGTGCTTTTCTATTGTGTCTCGAACAACTGTACAAAAAAGTAACGGGAAAAGAATTATTGTATACTGCATTAGTTGGTAAACCTAATGAAATAACATATTATCATGCGAGCAATATGTTGTTGGAACATGCTAAAAGCATTGGAATAGAACACAATGTTGATACTATTTATGCTATTGGGTAAGATTTATTATTTTTTATTATTAAAGTTTTATTTGATTAAACGATAACACACAAATATTTCTTTCATTCTGTTTATAGAGATAACATTAATACAGATATATTTGGTGCAAATCTTTACGACAAGTATTTGTCACGTTACGAAGCTGGCGGTGGCACTAAATCTCGTAGTTTAGAAAAATTGTTAGGTAAAAATATGAAAGGGCCTAGTGCAAAAGCGTGTATCAGTATTTTAGTTGAAACTGGTGTACATCAACGAAATTCTCAATTTATAAGTGAACACAGTCCTAGAGATTTTTTACCTATAGATGATGGTCTATGTAAACCAGCTTTCATTGTTGATCACGTTGGTAATGCGATTGATTTGGTATTTAAAGAAGAAAAATTCAATTGAAAGATCTGATGATACTGAATCGATACAGAATGTATTGGTGATCTAAGTAAAACATTAGTTAATAATTAGATAATACTACAAGCCCTTTTGAAAAAGGCAATGTTCCAAAGCAATGTAAACTTGTTAAGAGAAAAAGGCTAAAAGGGTACGTAGGTTCAACATTTTACTATGATTTTTTAAACGATTTTTAATATTTCTTTTGACTGTTGTACCCTATTTATTATAATCATGCAAAAAGAAAATAAGTAATAATAATAATTATTATTATTATTATATTCGGTCATTATAAAATCAACAACATTTATAAGAAAATTCATTTTTTTATATCATAAATGATATAATATTATTCAAAAAGGTACTAAATAAATAAATATTAGAGACACTATCATTTTTAGATAACGAATTTACTAATTCTATTCATTTAATATAATTCATAAGTATAGTAAGGAAGCACTTAATGAGTATGGCATGTAAATTTAAGAATGCAATTAACTGTACAAAAATATTTTTTTTGCGCACACTCAATTAAGTTACTATTATTGAATTAATTATTATTTTTTTTTTTTCAATTGTAAGTTCTCAATTGTTCATTTTAGTTTTTTAATAATATAATAATCAAAGTTGTTATATAAGAGATTTATTGAAATTGAAAATTTGCGAAAGTTACGTAGCTTTACGTAGTGTTTCATCGGTAGGTGAAAAAAAAAACAAAAAAAAAAAAAGAAAAAACAAAGAAAAGAAGCATGGATTTCACAATTCTATATATACTATAGTAGATATTTTTTAAGATAACATCACGCATCCAACCAATCTAGTCTTATCGAACAGCTATTACGTTGTTTTTTTTTTAACATTATTGTAAAATAATGGACATTCTAGTATTCATAATCTCAATGAAATACAGAAGATTTTAATATACGTTGAATCATTATTGAACGATTATAAAAAAAAAAAAAAAAAACTTGTTATAACATTGTTGCAAATAACTGTACCAATTGTTGCTATTAGAAAACGTTGTTTAGAAATAGGTGACAAATTTTTGTGTTTTCTTTATTTAATAATTTATCGTAAAACATATATTTTAGAGAGTTCCTAAAATTATAATCAAAATAACAATTTATAATGTTAAAGTTATGTTTTTTACAAAATTTAAATTAATTATTTTAATAGAATCAACAATATGTCTTGAAATAATTCATTCATTTTTCTACGTAACTAATTCTACGTATTAGTTATTTTATTATACCATTATGATCGATACTCATAAACAATTTCTTTTAAGAATCTAATTTGCATAATAATAATAATAGTAATAGTAATAATAATAATAATAATAAGAAGAAGAATACCATTAATCTTAATAGAAAATTTCACTAATAAATATATGCGAAAAACTAACGATCTGCGTCAAAATATTACGATTCGATAAAAAATTGTTTTTTTTTTTTGCTACATCTCTTGATTTATAAACAAATTTACTTCATTAAGAGAAGGGGGGAGAGAGAGAGAGAGAGAGAGAGAGAAAAGGGTGAGTCTACGTGACTTTTATCGAGTAAATTAGAATATATTTAAATAAATTGTATTTCTACTTGTTATATCTTTTTTTTTTGCCTTTTCATATAGAAATATTCTTAATGATTGTTGCAAAAGAAAAGAAATAAAACGAACGACCTAATTCAATGAATCATTCGTTAAAAATCTTGATTATAACCGTGATAAAATAAATATTATATTTTTGTAAGAGTATTGGTCAAAGAATAGTTCGAAATGAATAATCATTCTTGTTAGTCTGTTATAGTGAAGTCTGGATCTCATGACCCGTAAAGTCGAGCCGTCAATTGTTCGATTAAATAATTCTATTATGGGTAGATATATGCAGAGAGATTATTCAAGCTAGTAACCACTTGCACATGGATATGAAATTAAATTATAACTACTGTACTGCATATACAAGTAGCCCTACCCCCTTACCAATCGGTATTATGTTAACGATGATGATGATGATGATGATGAATCGAATGAATTTTTCTATTTTTTACGTGAAAGAGAATACGTGTTATATATTTTCTTGAAATTATTAATTGAACATAAACTTGTTCACTTAGGTAATGGTAATAATATTTAACCTACATTTAGATATTTCTTTGAAATAGTTCTTGAATATTAAATCTAGATTTCTGATCGTCGTAAATAGATTTGTTGTATTTTTTCAAACATCATTATTTTATATAAATTTCATAGATTGTAAGAGATAAATCAATAATACACCAAAGATACTTATTTATATATACATATATATAATATTCAAATAATTTATCTACCGATCATTTTGATCAAGATATTATTTATCATAATTCTTCATTTTTCATCATTACTTTCTAGGAAATGTTCTTTGGAGTTTATATTGCAGTTGTAATAGCGTATATACGTTCGTGAAAGTATTCGAGACGGTGGACCCGACAGTAAGAACAAGGTCAATTACATTAAGCCATCATAATAACGTAAATTGGGCGGCAACTCGTAAGATTAATTGGAAAAAGATAAGAAAGTTCATGATGGGATTAAATTTAGCGCCACTTTTATTCAAATCCATAATAGATCCTATTACTATGAGTTGATATAAACGAACGTTATAATAAATAATTAATAAGTAAATATATTAAAATACATACGTATATATATATTTATCACATAAATAAGCCTAAAATTAGACTTATAGTTATCTTATAATTATCCCTGATACGAGTTCCTAGTAATAAAGAAATTATTTTACTTAGTATCTCGTAAAAAAAGTAACAAACTAGGAAAATAATAATCTAATATCTATTTATATATTATAATTATGTAGGATCTAACAATGATTTGAAACCGTTAGAAAAATAATAGAGTAAATAGATAAGAGACTATTATGAGACTGATTGTCACTGGGTCTCGGTCAATGAACGGCTACTTTTACTTGACTTACTCGAAGTAGCGGCTTTTCAACACTCATCTGTCGTAACTTTACCAGTTTTTCTTCTCTTTCTTTCATAACATTCCATGGCTCGTTGCAAACGTTGAAGATATTCTTGAAAATGATCAACCTCTTGAAGATTTCTCGAATCGTATCTTCCGAAAGATCGTTTCTGTACAAGTGCCATAAGCATGGCAGTTATCATTGGCAATGTCATACCCAAAAGGAAACCGGGTGTCATGATATTTTTTAAACCGTGTTTAGTAAAGCCACGATAAAGCTCCGCCCAAATTCCTCCGTCTTCGTGTTCAGGATACTTGCCCAATTTGCCATAAAGATGAGGCTTGATTTTACCAGTTTTGGCTATGTAATTGTAGTAATTGGGATCGTAGGATTGAGCGTATAATTGAGAATAATATATATCCCCTGGTGGGGGTGGATTATTCGCATCAGGAAACCAAGCACTGGCGTCTTCACTGGGTGGTCCATGAGTTGGTGGACCACGATGATGATATCCAGGTGGTTTAGTGTAAATTAATTCTACTGGACCTTTACGTGGTGGTGGTGGAAACGGTGCTATGTTGGACATACATATGTTGGATAATATAAATTTTCATTATTTTCAAAGAAATGTTTCATCATCACTTTTTCGAATTACGATCTAATTTCATTTATCTTACCTATGACAGGACCTTTCGAAAAGACACTACCAATTCTAGGTTGTGCAAAGGGATATGGTTGACCACGAATCCATCTGTTACGTTGACGCCACATCACAGGAGAAACAATATCGTTTCTAGATTGAATCATTTCAAGAGGATCAGAAAATATAGACGATTGTTGCAATGCCGTTGGATTTGATATCATTGGACTCGTTTGAACACTCTGAGAAGGTTGCAATATCTGAGAATTGGACGTATAATGTGCAGTATAATCATAAGTTTGTTCAGGTATTTGTAATACATTTTGAGACTGATAAAACATTTGTTGTTTTTCTACAGGATTTGTTACTAATTGTTGTTGTTGTTGTTGTCGTTGATTCGTTAGTTGATTGTTTTGCGATACAAATTGTTTTCGATTATTGGACGTTGGCGATTGATTGTTTTGAGATTGACTGTTTTGTAAAAAATAATCCAAAGACAATCGTGACTCCTCGGGTGTTTTGGAATTGAGAAACGTGTTCAACGCTATTTCTGCAGGTGTCTTCACCGTGTTAGTTATTGGTTGAATTATCTGAGATTGTTGCATTTTGTTATAAACATTATCCGAAAGTTCACGAGCCGATGCAATATTAACCAACGATGATGTTTCAGCATGATCGAAATTAGTTAACGAAACATCTCCATTGGATTCGTTTTCTTCTAATTTCGTATCCTTCGAAATAACATCCTTGCTTTCGCGATATATCGGATATAATTTTTGTGCTTCGTTAATCGACGGTTTAACAATTTTCGATGAAAATTCCGATTCCTCGGCCGTGTATTCGGTATTTTCGGTCAACGGATTACCTTCGTAATTCAGCTGTGCTCGTGCAATTCCAATAACGAGGATAACTATAATGATCGTTATCCCTTTCATGATTGATCTAGAAAAACAACCAAAATAATTATACAAATTACATCGATATGTAATTTAATCGAAACAATTATGAAGAAAAATAGCGAACAATTATTTGAATCGATGATTTTAAATAGATTTTATAGAAGCCGATTAGAATGGCGTTTGACCGAACGTAAAGTTAAACGTTATTCTGTTCTGTACTGTTCCACTTACACCGTTTCATGCTTAATAATCCAGGAACAATAAAGCATTTGCGGATGTTACTGTATTACCATGCGTTCAAACTTTAATACAAAAATACATTATATAATTACTAGACGTAATAATTACTAAAATAATAAGTAAAAGATATGAGTTTTTTGTTTTATTTTATCACGGTTGGATTAGTTGGAACATGTTCGAATAATCAATGAAATCAAGATTTTCAAAACGGGAAAGAAAGTTGTCCTAATATCCAAGAGAGAGAGAGAAAGAGTGTTGACCACCGATTTCTTAGCCTAAGTTTAACCGCTTATGGTTATGGTTATGGTCACGGCAACAAGTGACCCAAGGTCAATTCACGTCAAGGAAGATTCTTACACGCCCAATCGAAAGTATGCTATCACGTTGACAAAATAAGAAGAAAACAAGAAATAAGACTACGGGTCCCGTGTAAACGTTATTATACTTTTTTCTACTACGTTACACAAAATAAATCTAGCATAGTATATTTTTTAAAAACATTAACATTCTGAAATTATTTTCAATTTACATTGAAGAAATGATAATACGTACGATATTATTCACATTGATTTTTCCTATTAGCTCAATTATCTTTTATCTTCTTCTTTTCATTCAGTTATTTCTACGAAATTAAATTACAAGATTAAATAATGCGATTAAAATAAAAGATATTAATAATAGATTAATCTCTTTTGAAACACTTGTACGCGTTTCATATTTCTTTATCGAATGTATAACGATGATTGTACTGTAAATTAATAACAAATAACGAATATATATTTTGTCTAATAATATAATAGTTTATCTCCTTCTATTCGATGATGCATTCTGACGTATTCGTTGCTGCATGGCTGTGATGGCTTTCTAAAAACCGTTAATTCATTACTAATTCAACGCTCGACCGAAATCGAAAAAGATTTATTAAATCCAATAGCAAAAACTTTCACGACTTTCGCGTCCTCCTTCCGGGATGAAATAGATTATATTATTATTATTTTGTTCTATTGTTAAATTACAAATTTGTTGTAAGTCTTTTTTTTTGTTGTTATTTGCTATTATTTGATAAAAGATATTAACTTACGTTGTTTCATGCAGAGTTCAAATCCTACGGTTTATCTTTTTCTCACGATTGAATAACAACTGACCGTGAAAACTCCTTAAATAGACACCATTTAAATGATGATTATATATTATTATTGTTGTTATTAAAATATTGAATAAACTTGATCTTAACACCTTTCAACGTTATTTCAACGGTGGACCATGAACAGTGTGATCAAAATACGACATGAGTAGTATCATTCAATAGTAGTATTCATCCATCGGTTGGAAAGGGACCAGGAAAACTGAGAGGGCCCACAGATAATGAGAAAGGCATTCGCTTCGAAAGCCCCCTACTTTGCTTGCTAGACTTTGTCCCACCTCTTTACTTTTACATCACCTGTTCTATGCAATCTTAAAGTTTAATGTTACGTTAATCAAGTTCATTGCTTAAAGTACTTTACTTGCTATACGTACCCCTCTTTAATTTTACATCACCTGTTGTATAGTTTCAGGGGATGAGCGTCGTAAAGGAGATTGCCAACCCTCCTGTATTATTTGTACATGCTTAACACATTCGCGACCGATGACGTGATGAATTCACGTCATTTTACATTTTAAACATTTTATAAAAATAAATTTACATTATTTTATTATTATTATTAATTTTATTATTATTTTATTATTACTTTATTAGTATTTTATATATGTAAAAATTATTGTTTTTTCTCAAAATGTCATTATTTTTGCCGGTACTTGGTATAAGAAACGAAAAAAATATGCCGGCTGCGAATGTGTTAATAAATGAGAGGGGTGGTAGCCACGAAATAGTGACCACATCCCCTAGTATTACTTCTACATGATGAATAGAAGGGGTGGCAACGAAAAATAATTGTTATATATATATAATATGTTTATATTATATATTAAAATTAATAACACAAGTAATATGCATTAAAAATAGGAGTAAAAGATCAATAGTTCGCAAGATGAAAGAGTGAAAATAGTTGGTTTGACAATGCAGTAACCAGATAACGGTTATTTGTCGCGAAAGACCTACTTATTTCTCTTCGACAGGTATTACTGCAAATTCACTGTATATTTGATCTTTGATCAATGAATAAACGCGGATTTAGAGATTTGCTTAGCCTCCATAAATAATATAAATGAGGACAAATGTAAATAGGATTTACAGTGACCGATCCTCGATCTCATTTCTCATTGAAATATTATACTTAAAGATCGTAATGTGTCTATGCGTGCACAAATATTATATTTATATATATTACAGTCAATGTAACAACATTGTACAGATTGTCCGATGCATTCAGGCCATGTGGTCCGTATATGTCTCATACGTTTGACGATATTGCATTTTGGTTTTGTTTATGAAGTATGTATTTCTGAAATATTTAATAAACATCATTAATCAAAAGAAATGAAATAAATGAAAATGAAATAATACATAATAAATCTTACATCATTATAGAAGTATAGCTAATATTCTTGCGTTGAATCCTCTTCATGGGGGTACGGGAGAGGAGTCAGCAACCAACGTTCGTAGGAATGAAACGAGAGAAATAGAAGAAGAAAGAAAAAAGAAGATGAAAGAGAGGAGATACTAACGCGAGTTATATAATTGTAGTAGATTACTTCCATCATCATCGTCGTCGTCGTCGTTGTCCTCGTCGTTGTCCTCGTCGTCGTCGTCGCCGTCGTTGTCGTCATCATCGTCGTCTTCGTCGTCGTTGTTCGTCATCACATGTATGCCATCCATAGTGTGATTACTCTCGTGTGTTAAAACTCGTGTTACTCTTCAGTCAACATTTGGACACGAAAGAGTGACACCGAATAAGTAGTAGTAGAGTAGTAGCCATTGTTACGGGAATTGGATGCCAACATGGAAAATGATTCTAATAATAAGAGTTCGACAATTAATGTACTATGGAAACGTTTGAAAAAATCAATTATTGATATTCACCTAAATCCCGATCAAATATTTTATCGGTAAGTTAAAATGATTTTAATAATTAATCCTTTGTACTTGAGAACTCCTACGCTATGGAGATAATTAAAAAAAAAAAAAAAAAAAAAAAAAAAAACAAAGAAATAACTAAGGTAAATTGAATTTATGTTAGTCTGTGTAACATTATATCCCAATAATGACAATTTCTTTTAATGATAATTCATATTATCATATTCGAGTGCAAAGATGCATTAAATTCGTGTCCATTTATTTATCATAAATTTCAATGATAAAGATATTATTGTGTTATCAAGATTTTATACACAATTTAACATTATAAAGATATTATCGTGTTTGTTCTAGATATTATTCTTACTCACAATAATTCACAAAGTTGCTTTTTTTTATTTAATTTTAAATCATCAAATGAGTACTATATCTTTTTGATTTTGTTTAAGACAAGTTTCAAATAGCATACATTAACTTATAAATTATATTGTTAATCCATTACGATGTGTGATAGTAATAAATGATTGATAATACAATTGATGAATATTTCTTCATAACGTAATACTGTTCAAAAGAATTTGAATCTAACGATAAGAGACTGAACATAATGATACTTTAGATATACGAAGAACTTTAACAAGTAAATTGTCATGAATTTCAATTCCTTGACGGAACTTAGACTCTCACTTAGTTAGACGATGTAATGAATATTATTCTGAAAGATCGATGATATTTTCATGATCAAATTTACAAATTATAGTGATATAAAAAATATAATATTGAAACTTAAGGGCGTAGGTTCGTTCGTATCCAAGCATATTTTAATTAACCGAATTAAAGATAATTTGTGTCGTTCTATGAATCGTATTCTTAGAGCACATACACACACACATAATCTTTCATCTACACCCAATGCTTCAACGTGTCTCTGCGTATATGTGTGTACGTATGTTTAGACAATTTAACTTTTATTCGTTTGAAAAAGAAAAGATTCATTTGAAATAATAATACGAAAGATAACTTGGTCAGATAAATTTCATTTCAGTATTGGCCTAAGCATAGGAAATAAACCATGGGTTTGGTTAATCGTGTCCTTGATCATCAATTGCATATGTTGTCCTGGAATGATATTTTGGAAAGAAGAAGTAGACGATGTTGAACTTTGTTTGCCAATGAATTCGAATGTACGAGCAGATGCATTTTGGGTCCAACAAAATTTTAGGGATGATCTTAGATATGAAAGTATCATCGTAACTGCACCAAACGTTTTAGAACCAGAAGTGTTAAAATCGGTATACTATATAAAAGAAGATCTATAATATCATTTCGTTCTTTGAGATTGACGTATTATTCGTATGTGACATGTACACTTTAAAATCGTAGATCAGTGAAATCGAGAACGAAGTTAAAAGTATAATGGTGAAAAATCATACGTGGAAGGACGTATGCGCAAGGTGAGTGTGTGTGTGTGTGTGTGTGTGTGTGTGTCCTAATCTGAATATTTATCATTATTTTTAATTCACGATTTTGTGCATAATTATTTCGATCAAATGGTGTTTCAAATCAAATACAATTAATTATCGATTTTTTAATACGAAACATTGTCGTCACATTACTATTATTATTATTAGTTTTTTGACATGGTTCGAAGAGGATGAAAACTTGATATTCGAAGATATTCACAGTTTCGAATTTTCCGACGATATTATGAAGAATTTGAACAACACCATGCTAAAGGATGGATGTATATATCAATCAGTTTTAAAACTCTGGCAAGGAGACGATATATCTGCATTAACGACAAAAAAAGTATTGAGAGATGTGACGAAGGCAGTAAGAGACAAGTGAGTTTAATATATGCCCTATTTTGCATACATACTTTTTTTTTCTTCTTCTTTTTTGTCCAGATCTAAAAACCACATACTGCACAATGTCGTACCGTTGTTATCGGATATCGAATACGACGAAATGAATAACGTGAAATCCGCAAAAGCAACGATATTGAATTGGATGTTAAAAAAATCCAATCCTTATTCTCCCGAATGGGAATTGGAATTTATCGAGCGTGTACTCAATAGAAATCGTAGTCTACCTTTGGGCATGGAAATATATGCGGTTTCATCGAGAAGTTTTAAGGATGTCTTACATGAAGTTATGATGAATAACATGCCAATATTATGTTGCGGATTATCATTAATTACTATTTATGTATTGTTCATGATCGGCAAATGTAATGCTATCGAGCAAAGATTGTACCTTTCTCTAATGGGTGTTTCCGTTGTTGGTCAAGCGGTGATATCTTCTTACGGAGTATGCTATTATTTAGGGTACTTTTACGGGCCGTTACATCGTGTATTACCGTTTCTTTTACTTGGCATTGGCGTTGACGACATGTTCGTTATAATGCATAGTCTTGAGATGCAATCCGAAAGTGATAAAGCTCTAGAAATTCCATTGCGTATTGCAAAAGTTGTTCAACATGCAGGTATGTTACTGATGATGATGATGATGATGATGATGATGATGATAATAATAACAACGAAGCTACAATACTTCTAAATATTATACAATTTTGATTGCTTTAATTCTATACGAATATGTTTATATATTATATTTTTCTTTGTTAACAGGAATGTCCATCACTGTGACGTCTTTTACAAATTTAGTTGCTTTTGGAATTGGCATGACGACAATGATGCCATTTCTCAAATCATTTTGCATGTTTGCAACTATGGGAATATTGTTTCTATATATATTCGAATTAACTTTTTTTGTTAGTTGTTTGGTATACGATGAGAGACGATTAGAAAGTAAAAGAGACGGCTGCTGTTGTCGGCCAAGATCAGAGTGGAAACGAAATGAATGCAGTCAACGAAATCTCCAACAGATCATCTTCGAGAATTACATAGGACCGTTTCTAATGAAAACTCATGTTAAAGTTGTCGTAATAACGATCACGGTGTGTCTCGTATGTGTCAATATTTGGGCCATATTTCAGTTGGAGCAAGATTTCGATCCACTCTTGTACTTAAATCAAGATTCTTATCCAATACGTTTTAATGAAAAACTAAAGGAATATTTTCCTGCGTATGGTAAACACGGTGCCGTTTATATGACCGATGTAGACTATTACGAAGATCGTGATTCTTTATTTCGATTGGTCGATACTTTGAAAAACAATTCTTTTATTAACAATCGCATTTTGGATCCATGGTTTATAGCATTTGATAAATGGTTGAACAATACTAATAAAGGTATACGCGCTTCAATCAAACATTTTCATAAATGTATGTATATATATATACACATATATATATATATTACTTTTTCCTGTAGCACATGATATTGAAAGTAAAGATGAATATTATGGTTACCTTACGGAATATTTATTGCTAACTATGGAAGGTCAAGCATATATAAAAGATATTAAATTTGATAAATTACCTATTGGTGATTACAACATAACGGTATATATTTCTTTTTTCATTCTAATTATGTTCTTATCAAGATTAATATATACAGTATGCAGCATAACAAACAATACTGAAATTACAAAAATGTTCCGAACAATAAGATTATAAGAGGCAGGTCAATACAGCATGAGTTTTAAATGTGTAAGTGATGGAATCCTGATAAAACTCTTGCACATTCAGTATTGTTTGTTCTGCTATATACTGTATTTTATTGTATATTTAAACGTTTTTTTTTTTTTTTACGCTTCAGTCCTCTAGAATTCCAATACAACACGTTCTTGTTAATAGAACATCGGATCAAATAAAAGCAATGCAATCTATGGGTGAATTGATAGAGATTACTAATTTGTCTCATTCTCATGTAGTCATATATTCCCCGGAATATGTATCATGGTCAGCTAACAAGGTAAGTGAAATATGACCTTTCATAGTCAGCACTAACAAGATTAATAAAATATGACTTTTGAATTTTGATAATAACATTTTGAACTTACAGATAATTGGAGAAGAATTAATCAGAAACTTAAGTTTAGCAATAGTAGCTATTGGATTAGTAACAATACTTTTATTGAGAAATTTACTAGCATCATTTTGGGTCATTAGTTGTGTAATATTTACGCTGATAGATCTTTTAGGTTCTATGCACTTTTTAGGATTGATTGTTGAAATTTCATCTAGTATTCTTGTTCTACTTTGTATTGGATTAGCAGTAGATTATGCTTCACACGTAGGATTAGAATTTATAAGAAGAAAAGGTTCTAAAAATGGTATGTGTGATGCATATCTATTTGTAACGGAGAATCTTTTGTAAATGAACATATTTTTATTACAGAACGCGCGATCACAACATTGAAGATTATCGGGCCACCTGTTTTTAATGGAGGCTTTAGTACTTTCCTTGCATTTGTTTTACTAGCTTCTAGTAAAGCGTATCTCTTTAGTACCTTCTTCAAGGTACTCCAATATTGCATATGTGCCCATAATTATGAAAGTAGTCTAAGAGAAAATTTGAACAAAAATTACTTTATTAGTTATTTCATACCACATTATTTTCAACTGAATTAATTCAATGTGTTTTTTATTTCAATATTATATAGAATTCATTTAGGATTCAAATGTAATCCTTTAAATATCTCAAAACAAGAGATGTATGACTTAGACCACTCTTATAATTATGATATGTATATTATATCAAAAATATATTATTATATAAATTTGTACAAAAAAAAAAAAAAAAGAAAGACAAAAGATATAAAATTTGTATTATTTTAGTTGTTCACCGCTGTGGTAGCATTCGGATTGTTTCATGGACTGTTATTTTTACCTATTATTTTAAGCTTATTGGGACCAAACGAAAGAAAAGTAACAAATAATACTCCAAAAGAATGCGATATGAAAGAAGCTAATGGATATTATACTGTTCATTTACCAAACAAAGCAGAAGGTATTAATCAACAGTGATGGTCAAATATTAATAACAAGTTTTCCATAATAATTTCCAGCATTGTATTAACTTGCATTCATTTTGTTTACAGATGCAGGAGGTGGGCGAGAAAACTAACTATTCCAATGTTAACAAAGACTGAATAAATAAGAAATTGACTATGTGTTACTTCGATGCAAGAAAAATATTAAGAGTATAATAGTATAAATGTCTTTCTTTTTTTTTTTTTTTAATAAAAATTTATAATGCGTAATATCATTGAATCGTTAGAGTCTATTTCTTCTTCTCCCTAATGAAACTACTGTCCATTCTGAATCTTTTTCAATCTCCATACTTTCTTCATTCTCATCACTTTCAGAAGAATCACTGTCCATTTCAGCAACATTAGGTTGCTCAGCAACACTAGGTTTCATCAGAGTTCTTAAACGTAATTTATTTGGTAAAATCCATGGTTGTACCGGTGGTAATTTTTCCAACTCTGACTCAACCTCAGATACATTGCCCATATTGTATTTCGAATAAAATCTGTACAATTCATCGGCTACTTGTTTACCACTGAAATCTTGAAGCTCGGTATTAAATGCATCTTCCATGTAATCTTCTAGCAAATCTTGAATTTCACTCGTAAATAAATTCTCTAAAAAAAATGAACATTCATTAAAGATATTTTGATACGCAAATAATCGCATATTTGATATTTTACATATTACATTTAGAATGTATTATACATAGCAACATACTCGATTCACACAAAAAATCTGCCACGTGTCGACAAAACTCATAGGCCTCGTCTTTGCTTCCCATATCATTTTCAACAGCTAACTAAAATGACATTTTTTATATAGTTAATATTATTTTAACAAATTTAAGTATTATTTGTAAAGAGTTAACCTAAAAAACCTAAAGTTAACCTAAAACAACTGTTTAAATAAAAAATCATACAAATAAATACGTACTCTCAATGCTGTCCAATTACTAAAAACACGGACTGTCAGTGAAAAATAAAAATCCATTTTATCAATAACACTGCAACAATTAATAATAAATTAACACACAATAATTAATTCAATGCAAAAGTACAAGTATATTTTTCTCCGGCTTTGTAACTAGTCTTAAACATACTGAAATTCATAGATGTCGCTGTTTGATCTTTTATCGAAATTATTGTATATCGATATTTTACTAAAAGTTATCGATTAATGGTAACTCCAGCGCCTGTATGAATGCAACCCTTCAGACACGCTTTGAAAATCTGTAGCGGACGCGTATCAACAGTCACGCCTCTACAGACCACTCATACAACCACACTCAGACGGTAAAACAGACAAACAACACATAAAACAAAAGAGAACAATAGTAAATGGTAATAACACACGCTACACGCTACACAGCGCAACAACGCATCACATTCACCACGTGTTCCCTAACTTAAATATCGTAACTACTCATTGTACATATGTGATATAGTTTTATTAATAAAGTTCTCCGTTATACGTTAATCATTTTGTATATCTTTATCTCGTGGTATTGATAAGAAGAGATACCACAAATCTTGCTTGCGAGCGTCATCTATCGGGACGGAATTTTTTTCTGCCCGAAAGATAGGCAACCCGTCATACATACGTGTATAAACAGTTTTGACTGAAAAAAAATTCCGTCCCAGTAGATGGCGCTCGCAAGCAACATTTTCAAAGTGTGTCTAGAGGGTTGCATTCGTACAGGCGCGCATTTTTATAATTAAATAAATAATTAAATAAATAATTACAAATTAAAAGTACAAATAATATTATAATAATATTATATAATAAATTATCCTCGAAATTTGTTTATTCGAAGGTTTCACTTCTAACTTGTGTGCATAAGACCTTCGCCAATGAATATATAAAGATATTTTACAATATGCACATACCATTTAAAAAACGTGTAGGTATTACCCTACATGCGAAAAATTGATCAAATAAACTTCACACGTGACTGAGAAGTAATATCTTTTTATTGTCTTGCCAGCTCGACTTTCGTTGCCCGATTGATTTAAACATATCTTCAATAATTTCAGAAGGAAACTTTATTTATGACAATAGATTAGAAAAAATATATACGATATATATAATAAAATATATTACTTTGTACATTGATATAAAAAAACTTTCTCTTACTAAAGTCTTTCTTTGAAAAACAAAAACTTAATTGTAAATAATTGCAGTCCTTCGATGAACATCTTTTACATTTGAAATTTTCTTTGTTCTCTTAATAATATAATCAACAGTAGATGTTTATAACATACAACGCACGTTTTTATTGAATAAGTTCGTTGAAAAAACGAATGTTTCAATCGATTACACCATTGTGGGAGGTTGTAAAACAGCCGGAGCTCTTCTGACTTTTAATGCTTCTGGACTCATAGTTCGAGCTTGTTTTGCTATGTGATCGTAATCGTATAGAACTGCCAAATTTCCGTCCTGTGTCGATTTACTCGCAGAACTTTTATTCGTCGGCAAGGATTTTGTTGTTTTTTGACTATCCATCGAAGCATTATTACCATAAAGAGCATCAGCTGCTATACTACCTTCTTCGTCTTCGCATCTGTATCGTCTTTGTTTTATTCTCAACATTGAATAAATTCCTATCGATATCAAAAGGAGTAGGAGCAACAAACCAATGGCTGAAGCAGCAGCGATCACTTTCATTTCCGACGGATCACGAATGATCAATTTGATATTCGTCGAATCTCTACCTTTCTCACTTTCCACTAAAAGAGTATACATACGTGAATCTTCTTTATGTAAATTTTTGATCTCCAATTTAGCCCAATAACAATTCGTTACTATCTTATCTTCAAAAATCGGTTCCAACGGCAACGCTTCGTACTTTGGTTGTATACTTTCACCTAAAAAATAAAAAACAGAATGTTAATAAATGTACAAAAATTCATTTAATAACTCGTACGTAAACTAATTAGTATTAGTATTGAATTTATTCATATTATTGAACTTTTACACTATTGAAAATGTACATATTACCCGCTCTAACATGAGAACTCCCCCATTGCCAAGCAACAAGTCGAGGTGGTGGTCGAGAACAAAAGCGAGATTTTAATTGATGCACGGGTTCACCGGCCCATCCTATTGACTCATAAGTCCCATTACCGGAACTGGACGGTCTGGCTTGTATCTCTGGAGGTCCGGTAACGTGTAACATGTAACGTACATCGCTAGGTGTTTCCCTTCTCGTTCCACTTATCATGTTAAATGCTATACAACGATATTCCCCTTCGTCCGACCACATGACATTTTCCAGACGTAAACGTTTTCCAGAATCCTTAGCACGAGTTGGATTCTCAATAGTCTTTTCTGTTGTACCGCCACGCAAGTGTACCCACTTGTAGCGAGGTATTGGATTCCCTTCAAATTCTGGACATTCGAATGTTTCCACGCTTGAACCAAGTTGTGCTGTTTCTTCTATTTCCATCAAGGTTTCATTATCGTTAGAATCTTCCATACTTTTCGCTCGTGGTGCAACTGTTTGAACAATAATGTAATAACAAATTAAGGAAAAATTGTCATCGCTACGATATACTAATCGATTAAACTATCCCGAACAAATTTTCAATTTATTTTCATTTGCAATTGTACGTTTAATAATTAGAATTTGATCTTTTCTGTAATTAGGCTAATATAAGTTATGTAGAAATCTATCTTGGCGCCTAATTATTTCTACAAATAATAGATCAATGGACTATACGAATATATAGAGCTTTACAATTTATGCACATAATTACAATACTACGAAATAAATAATACAAATACAATTGAAGTTTTCCCATAGACTTTAAATTGAGACCAAACCTTTTGTTTGATGACCGTTCCGACAACTAATTGCAAACTATCTATAGACCTCTTTTTATTCTCTTCACATCTAATCTACATAACTCGCAACAATATCTGCGATATATTTCACATGCAATTATATGTTTGGTAGTTTATATACGAGTACTTGCATTAAATAAATGTATTTATAATGAATAAGATTAAATAGATGATAACGCGAAAATAAATTCTAAATAGAAATTGAATGATTTATTACGAAGATATCGTAAAAAAAAGTACTTGTAACTTGTACGAACATTGAACGTCGAGTGCATAATTGGCCTGTGGGCTTTCACCGATGATGTTAACAGCCTTGCATGAATAAAGACCAGCATCATCCCTCTTAACCGGTTCGAATCTCAATTCGGATATTGTTGAGGTGCTATTACTGTCGGTTCTGTTCTCTGTCAGTAATAAAATATTATCGTCACTTATAGGAGTCGAATCTTTGAACCACTTGATCATAGCAGTAGGATTAGCGTCCGCAACGCATTTTAAGTTCATAAAACTCGCCGAATCCTCCAACGAGCTTGTCAGCCAACGAGGACTCGTTTGAAATCTCACTTCTGGTGAATCTGTAACGTTTCAAAATAAACAAAAACAATCATTCATTTGGAATATTTTTAACAATAATAAGACAATTTAAATTTATATTTAAATAATTATAATATATAATAAATATATATTTAATATTATTATAATTAAAATATAATAATAAATTTATTTTGAATATATAAATTAATTAAATAATTCATTATTTTTTTACTCGGTACTCAGTATTAAAAAAGGAAAAAATATGCCGGCCGCGAATGTGTTAATATCAAGGCACCCAATTAATGTCTACACCTACATTATATGATGTACATTTGTAATAGGTATATTTAAGAATAAAAAAAATTGTAAACACACAATGGATATTCAGTAGAGATTCTGCAGTAGCAGGTACTGGACTAGATGGATGAATGGTGATGCATCGAATCATTCGACCATGATATTCTCGACGACCACGAATGCGTAAAAGACTGTGAGCTGCCCAAGTTTTAGGATTATCCACTTCGGTGGCGTTCATTTGTTCTCTCAGTGGTTCAACTTCCTCATCTCCTATAAACCTGCATCAACGAAAAATGATCATTGTTACCTTCTCCATCAATAAATAATTCATAAAGCTAAAGAACGAGAAGAAAATTATTCTCTACCGTACTAGAAAATCATCATTCTCGTCTTTCTTTGGTTTTATCGTCGCTAAATCGTTTTGCCATTTCGACCGAGCAACAACAACAGTACCGTGAAACGATGCCCATAATTTTTGTTCTTTTTCTCTAAGCACAAGGATAGTTTACATAATTATGGATGTACAAGGTGTTTCATACTAGATGTAGAAAATATTTATAGATTTATAGATTTTGAATTCTTTGACTTTAATTAAGGCATTGATATTAATACTAATCACGATACTGCACTACAATTGTTTTCATTGGCAGTCTTTTTAATCTTATATTTAATATTTTTCGCATATTATGAATCACCTTGTATACAAAATATATAATATATATATAAAAAAGAAATGAACGTCAATTTCTCTAGTACTACTATCTTCAAAGAACAATCAAATAAGATGCAACTAAATGCATTAGACCGTGAAACCAAAGAGACGAACTCTCTAGAATTGCTTTGTCCGGCATAAAGCAAAACGTTTCGTGGTTTTACTATAAATTATGGTCACATTTTTATCTGTGCAAATACAATCAATATATGTTGTTTCTTGTTGTTAGATGAAAAAATATAAAAATGTATTTTACTAATTTTACAAACGATTCCTCCCTGTGTTTCATCATAGAATTTCAAATAATATCAGCTTATTAGCACATTGAGTTTTATTTTTATTACAAAACTTTCTTTTCTTTTCTTTTCTTTTCTTTTCTTTTCTTTCCTTTATTTTCGATGTATTCGTCATAGGTAGAAAATGTATTTTTAAAAGCTTCTTAAGGGTCTCGCTAATGGCCTGAAAGAACGCTCGAAGAACACTTAAAAGATTAACTACCTCGAAAAGCATTAAGCTTGTAGATTATTCTGTAACATTTCAGTCACTGTCAAACCTCAAGATTAAAATATTACAAATAATAGTATAGTGTAAAAGAATGTTAAAAGTATCGTTTGAAAATATATTCTCTCAACATAATTATATATTATTCAATGAAATAACATAATATAAAATAATTCGATCAGTTTGTCAATTTTTCTATAAAA